CTATGAGATATATGAGTTATATAGAAAATATATACGAACAAGATATGACATCTATGTTTATATGAAACAATGCAAGATGATATGAGCTATGTGAGATATGAATATAAAATCATATGAGAAGTGAAAAGAATTACATGAAAATAGTCTAAGTGATTACATGTATATGTGAAAGAAGCTATGAGCTTATATGAACATGTGATATGATATGGAATACATGGTTACACATACATGTGGTATGTGATAGAAGAGAAATGACAAGTAATGTGAACTGTTAAAATGATAATGCCCATGTTATGTGATATGAGAGCTAGGGTATAGTTGGCATGCCAAGGGTCGAGGGTTTACCTATGTTTTTTAGGACATATGGACTGTTTACCTATGTTCTTCGGGACATATGGAATGTTTACCTATGTTCTTCGGGACATATGGACTGTTTACCTATGTTCTTCGGGACATATGGACTGATTACCTAGGTTCTTCGGAATCTATGGACTGGTCCTTCGGGACATTGATCGAGCTGTGGTGACAGCATATGTGTGCACAACCTCAATGTACTCACATACCTTAAGTTCTCACTAGTGTACATGGGCTAATAAAGTGATTAAACAAGCATACTGAATGTGATATGTATACGATGGGTTTATAAATGGTTATCAAAGGTAAGTGGTTTGAAATGTGTTACATGAACCATATGATGTTATGTGTGTTTCTTAATGATAATGATAGAGATTATGATAATGATGGTATATGTTTATGTATGCTTTATGTTATATGAAATATTATATGTTTTATATGTCTCACTAAGTCATCGACTTAGCGTGTGATTGTTTCACACGTAGGTTTGGAAAGCGAAAAGAAAAGTAAAAGAGGAACAAGACAGGTCAGTTCTCCTTACCGAATGTCAGATCAGAAGAGAGGTGAATAATATGTATTTTTGTATATAAAGTTCTAGTTAGCATGTAATCAAAGGAATATATTGTATAAGCTCTGAATAATTTTGTAAATGTTTTGAATAATTTAAATGTTATAAAAGTTTTTAAATTACTCATTATTTTATACGAATAAATTTTTGAAAAGTCAATGTGACAATTCGGACTCGTATCCTAGTCGGATACGGGTTGGGGTGTTACATATACGGTTACACATACATATGGTATATGACAGAAGAGAAAGAACAAGTGATATGAAATGTATAAATGAAAATGCCCATGTTATATGATACGAGAGCTATAGGTATAGTTGGCATGCCAAGATTCAAGGGTCTACGCGGTCCTTCGGGACAAATATAGTGATCATTCGGGATATACATAGGTCATTCGGGACAATTTTCATATGTCACTCAGTGAGACTTATACGAGTTGTGGTGACAGTATAAGTGCATAACCTCAATGTACTCGAATACCTTAAGTTCTCAGTAATGTACATGGGCCTATAAAAGATATCAAAAGTGTTTGCATGCATTATGTGATGTTATGTGTACTCTGTTGTGAAATGATATATGTGTTCTATGATATGTATAGAAATGTTCAACATATGTTTATATGATCACAAGGAATTAGTAATAATAATATGAGTACTGAAAAGCATGTTAATGATATATGTATATGTATAAATTGGTTAATGATAATGATAGATGTCAGAACCATGGTAGTATATGTGCATGTATGCAGTGGTTATATGATAGTATATATGCTTTTATATGATATGATAGTATTAATTATTTATGCATTGATATGAGTAGAGTAATGTTACATGTTTTCATGCCTCGCTAAGTCATCGACTTAGCGTGTAATTGTTTCACACGTAGGTTGGAAAGCAAAAAGATAAGTAAAGAGGAACAAGACATGTCAGTTCTCCTTACCGAAGATCAGATCAGAAATGTAGTTGAATTACATGTATTTTGTTACATATAATTTAGTTGGCATTTAATATAAAAGATTTGAATCTGATATGCTCTGATCGAGTTTTGTAACGTTTTAAACGTATTTATGTAAATGAGAACTTTATAGTGTTGAAAGATTAAATTTTTGTGAGTTTTATATATTTTACCGAAGTTACTGTAGCAGTACTGTAGCAGGGTATCGGTACCCCTCTGGCATTCTAGAAAATTTTAGCATTCGATACTGTTCACGATACTATTCACGGTACTGTTCATTACTGTTCACTACAATGTTCATATCGTATAGTATTGTTCATAAATACATTTTTACCTTAACATTTTATAACGAACATAATTTCAAAGGTATATTATCGTATTTTCTTAATATATGTTCAAATGTTTTGTAATTTTGTAAGAAAAGTGTTTCAAAAAGTCAATGTGACATCTAGAACTCGTATCCGGGTCGGGTACGGGTTGGGGTGTTACAAAATCTATGTGACAATTCGGTGCATATTCTACGCAGCACTTCGGTGCAAATTATATTTGACTGTTTTGACTGCAAGTACAGTGCACAATCTCAATATACTCACATACCTTGAGTTCTTAGTGATATACATTGGGCTAATGAAATGAGCTAATGTGAATTGATTTACTTATAAGTTATTTTATGAAACACATTTTGATTTCCGTACTTAATTTCTCTTGAAATTATAGCAAATGTTTTAAATGTTTTATTATGCTCTGTATTGCCTCACTAAGTCTAAGACTTAGCGTGTGAGTGTTTTCACACGTAGGTTCGAAGAAGTCAGCATAGTAGAGCTAGGGCTAGACAACATATCTCAAGAGAAGATCAGATCAAACCGATTTGAACAGTAAGTTATTTTGTTAATTGACATTTTGTTGGCATGTATTATAAATGTTTAAATCGCAAATGCTCTGATCAGTTTGTAAAATATTTCGAATTAAGCTTTTGTAAATGTTTTTTTATCTTTGTTTTTATTGCTTGACATTATTTTGGATACCACTCGTTTTAATAAGGGTTTCACCACGAAACCTAAAATAGAAAGTCAAATTTTAATCGGCTTTTCAATAGTCAAAGAGTTGAAAAGTCAATGTGACACCTCAAATTCGTATTCGATTCGTATACGGGTTGGATACAGGTCGAAAGTGTGACACATATACTACCTTTTAATCATCTAATTAGATTAATAATATATATATATATATATATATATATTAAATATATAAGTAAATAATTGATGTGACTATATGACATTAATTATCAAACACATAAAAAACTTAGCTTTGATTTAATTGTCAAATTAGTAGAAATAATGCATAGCATAATTAGTAATTTAGTAGAATAGGACGGTAATTTTCCGTATAGTATTAGGTGCATGCGGTTGTTAGCAAGATGGCATTGGGTGGTTAAGTGTTTAATTTTATTCAACAAATAATTATAATTAAGGACAATTACATTTTAATTTATAATATTTAAACAAATTCTCATGTTAGGGACGGAGTTGTGTAAGGTGGGAGGGGTCATGACTTACTTTTGGGTTTAATTATTTTTTAGGTCCCTTATAGTTTTGAAGTTAGATAAATTAAACATTGCTTCTTATTTTTTGGATTCAATTGTTGTTTAAGTCCTCTTAGTTTTGAAGCTAGGTGAATTAGATCCTAGCCCCTCTTTTAGGTACAATTGTTTTTTAGATCCTCTTAATATTAAAATTAGACAAATTAAGCCTTGATCTATCATTTGTTTCAGTTTAAATACTTTTTAGGCCCCTTTTAATTTTAAAATTAAATAAATTAGATATTAACCCCTCCATCACTAGTGGGAATAGCGTTACTAGCATCAATATTGATGTCATCAATAAAAAAAAACCTTTAAGCTTATTATATGAGAACTTGTTAAGAAATATGGTAATGAAAGGAACATATGAATGTCACTAGGTATTTGACCAAATAAGATCGTCCAGTTCCTATAGAACCTATCACTAAAATACACCCAGAGGGAGATAGGGCTAAGTGGAGCGAAAAGAATTTTCTATGAGACTAGATATTAATCACACACGTTTATGAATAAGTGTTTGCATAATGATGAGCAAAATATATATGACTTTCTACTAAACATGAGTTCAATATAATTCACTAAATATTTTTTTTGTGAATCTCAACTAAGTATAGTAAGTAAATTGGTCCCAATTATTTAATTATGTGATAACTCGTGTCATTCTTTGATAAATGATCATTATGAGTCAGACTTGAAAGAATTTAATTAATTTTTTTATCGTTAAGATGGAGAATTAAACCAAAAATTCTCTTTTTTATTTATCATCAATCGAATCATTGTTCTTTACCTAAGATTCTATTTTATCATCAATCTAATCACCACTCACAATTTTTCTTTTTCTTATCAATAAATATCTCTTTACTTATATGACTTAAATATGTCTCGTATTTCTTTAAAAATAATTCAATTGATAGAATTTTATATGATACTAATGAGGCCGGTGAGATTGATATTTAAATATTTTTTCTTAAAACATATTGATTTAACCTGCAAATGAGAATACAATCCCATATCATGTTGTCGTCGAAAACAAAATCTCGCATTTTTTCTAGAGAATCTCCTAATTGTTTCAAGCAACTAGAAATAGATTTTTTAACCCTAAAGAATTTAGTTTAGATATAATGATGTTTATGGGTCAGTGTTTTTTTTATTTATAATTAATCTAGGATGATTATAAGATGGTATATGTTCTAAGGTAATTTGGTTCGTGCATGTTTTTAAGTGTTTTAAGCACACCTTGATGTGATGAAATATTGATAGTATGTTTATAATATGTCATCTATGATATATGATGATTTGGGTTTATAATATGTTATCTATGATATATAGAATAAACTTAACTCCGAAGTAACGTCGTCTCCCCTTTGCTATATTGCTTTAGAATTCAGCTGGTCAAAAACACTCTTAACACAGGATATTATCATGGTCAATACAATAATAATTTTGAAGTATAAAACCACTGCTTTTACTAATAAGTTTAGGGATGTCAGATAGTTAAATACCAAATATAACTTGATTTCTGCAAATTTGATACAAAATCTGCTTATTTAAATACCTAATTCAGCTTGATTTCTGCAAATTGGATACAAGATTTGACGCAGCAACGGCTGCTGATCCACCACAAACACAAACACAAACAACAGCCACCACAATCTGCACCACAATTTCCCACTGGTTATCTTCAGGCACAAGGTAAACACATGAAGGACCCAAAAGCAATAAACCCAAGCTGAGTGTCAACAGTGCCCCCGGAGTTCCAGGATCCGTCGCGGCCGACAGCACCCCGAGCTCTTCCGCCTTGGAGAGGAGTCCGAGTTTCTCCATGGACGATAGATATAACCCGAACTTCTCTGCTGCCGATAGCAGCCCTGCTTTCTCTGCTTTGGTTAACAGTTTCAGTTTCTCCACGTTTGTTAGCAGCTTCACCGGTTGTGTCGCCACCCTGCTGCTCCGCGCCGGCTCGCCTAACGGGAAGACGGTCGAGTTCGAGCCCTGCATTGTTTTCATGGCATGACATCAAGTTAGAATAAGGATGCATGCATGATTTTATATCAGAGGCTTGTTGTTAGTAAGTTATATTAAAAAATTAATAATACAAAATTATAAAATTTATATAGATGCAAAATTTGATTACCCAAGGAAGATATAAAAAAAGATATTCAAAAAGAACTGACCTTTCGAGAACCAACAGTTCTAGCAACAGAAGGCAACGGTTTCTGAGTAGCCATGGATTGAATGAGAAAAGGTAAAAATTTGCAGAATTTGGTTTACAGAAGTAAATTGAAATCAAGTTAGAATAAGGATGCATGCATGATTTTGTAATGACGTGTAAAAAGTTGATCAAATCAATTTAATCCTATAAACTTAATTTGATTTACAGAAGTAAATTGAAATCATGTTTATTCAATTAGTTTTATAAGTTTCGATGATCAAATAATTATTTGTAGGTTTTATAGTAATACTCTTAAAAGGTGTGATTTGGATACTATGTAATTGCATGAAAATATATTTATTATTTTATTAATTATGCGGGGATGTAATTATAAGAAAATTTAATTCTACATATATATTTAATTGACAAAATATAATTATATTTTAATTTTCTTTATAAATTATAACTAAAGTTTATGTGGATTTAAAATAATTTTAATTATAAACTAAAGAATATGAATTTTATTCAAAAAGGATAAACAAATGTCGTATGTGTCGAATACATGTGTTAATACGAGCACAAATGGACAACAACAACGAGTCGATGACGCACGTTTGTGAGTCTTTCTTCAACCACTCAATACATATAATATTAAAAGATCATATATAAGCACTTGAAAAAAATCAATAACAAATCCAACATTGATTGTTTCCTTCAAGTGTTCAAATACTCCTTTTTAACGTAGAGTGATTGGAGATGAGACTCACTAGGAGTATAAATGAAGAGATAGTGTTTGGTGAATTGTTCGTAAACTGTTTGTATAACGTTTGTTTATGTTCGTTCGTTAAGTAAAATAAATGAGCATGAACATATTTTTAATGTTTATCTAATAAACGAACGAATACAAACGTAAGTGTGTTATGTTCGTTTATGTTCACATTTATGAGCTCGTTTATAAGCGCATTTATCGACTCGTTCATTTATGTTCATTAACAAGGTTGTTTATCCGGTTCTCCTTCTCCTTTCTTTTTTACATTTAAAATATTGGTGAAGGTAAAGACTAAATTGAACACATGATAAATGTTAAAATTTAAATTGTAGATTTTAAGGATTTTAAGCACTAGTAGTATAATTTTATCATTTTTCTTTGCTCTCAAATGGAATGCTAAAACTAAAAATTGAATATATAAACGAACGATAAATGAACAATAAACAAACACTAAACGAATGTTAAACGAACACGTTTATAAACATATAAATGAACACGTTCGCAAACATTAAACGAATATATTCACAAATAATAAATAAACAAATATGAATACCTTCAAAATTAAATAAATAAAACAATATTAAAAATTTAAACGAAAACAAACTAAATTAAAACATTTCAAAATAAACAAACGAACACAAATATAAATGTGTTGATTCGTATCGCCACCGCTTGAACGAATCGTATTCCGTACTAAAATATATCTTCAACACGTACTATAAATATTTTTTCTTTATTTGTTCATTTTTCTCTTAATTTTTTTAATTTTGTCCATTTCGGTGCATTTTTCCAACCCTTTGAATGGAACGTAAACTCAAGATATCTTTTATAGATGTACTTCTTAAAAAATATATTGATATCATATTTATAAATTTTAAAAATATGTTATTTTTATAGATAATTTTTAAAAATGATCTATGGGTAAATTAGGCTATTTACTTTCATTGTTTTCTTTTAAATCTTGCCTACCTATCAACCAATCATACAAAACTGGTAGTTCAACTTTATTTAAAAATTAAATCTTCGTTAAATTCCATAACTAAATTATCCAAAATAATAATATATAAAATTTAAAAAATAAAATATTTTCTATTTTATCATTCCGTTGTAAAATACGACACTACAAAGAATATTCTCAAACAGATGGCATTTTTATCTCATCATCCTCGTTGTTTATTATTATGGAAAGTTTTAACCGATAACTCATCATCTCGGACCTTATAAACTACAGTTTATAGTTGAGAAAAGAGTTCAAAACAAGGGATCTCATCTTCTTCGAGGAGTGGGTTTATTGTTCGAGGGGTAAGGCAATGAGTTTTAGAGGTAAGTTTTGAGTTTTCCAATGATTTTTTCATAATGTTAGATTTGATCGTGCTTAACTTTTTCTGGTTTTATGCTGCTTTTTTTAGTTTGATTGTTTTGTTTCTGGTTTTTGTATATTTTTATGCTTATATGATTGTTTCCTTTTAGCATTTTCTGATGATATTCCCCCCTTCTTTTCTGGGGGTTTCAGTTCATTGTTGAATATGATCACATATTAATTCCTAGCCTTTGTATTTATTCATTTGAACCAAGAGTTTTGGGAATTGATTAGTAGTAATGGATGAGTGTATGTATCTATCAGTTAAGGGTAATGATCATCCACCATAACGTTTGTATGATAGATTCAAAACTAGATTACAGCTTCTGCTTCTTTAGATTATGGCACTCTTTCCACCAATTTTAATGGATTATCAGTAAATTGCTATGAAACAATGCAGGCTTTGTCCCTTTCTTGTGTCTGTCACTCGTTGCTGCCTGTACTGCAAGGCCTTTCTATCCACTTCCTAGTAAAATAGCCAATCGAGATAGACAGCATCTACAAACCTCACCCGTATAATTTCGCACATCGAGGTTCAAATGGAGAGATCCCCGAAGCAACGGCTGCTGCATACATGGTATGTTTTGAGTGTTCAGATTCTACTACTACATATGCTTTCCCTTTCTGTTTGTGCAATGGAATGAGTTATTTGGCACCGTGCTGTTGAAATTACTTAGTTCAATGGCTTCTACTAGTTTCTCGAGAAATACTTCTTGGGGCATGGGGGACTTTTAAATTTGTAGAAGAAAACTTGGGATTTTCCTTAATTTATCTGTCATAATCAGTCATTGATACTGAATTTATCTGTCGTTCCACTATATATGTACATTGACAGTATACCGCTTCTTGCAGAGAGCTATTGCAGAGGGTGCGGGTGCGGACTTCATAGAAACAGATATCCTATCATCTAAAGATGGTGTCCTTATATGTTTTCATGATGTCACCCTTGACGAGACAACTGATGTCGCAGATCACAAAGAGTTTGTGAATCGTAAAAGGACCTATGATGTTCAAGGGGTCAACACCACAGGCTTTTTTCCTGGTATGGAAGCACAAAACTTTTAGCCCCCTTTCCCTCTTATAATGGTGCTGTAGAGCTGACAAATCCTGTACACGAGCACCGTGTTTAGTACAACACCTTAAGTTCTCCGAAAATTTTGATTTGTACTGTTTTGCATTTATTTCCAAGTAATATGTTTCTCGTCCAGCTGAAAATGGCAAATTATTCTTCATATACGCAGTTGAATTCACTCTAGAGGAATTAAAGAAGTTACGGGTGAAGCAGCAGTACAAATTCCGGGATCAGCAGTATAATGGTTAGTTCCTCTTTGATTTTTATTTGTTTGGATCTATTTAAATTCCAGGTCCCAACATATAAAAGGTCAAGGTTCCGTTTGTATGCAAAATGGTACTAGCAGCTCATTTCTGCTTGCTGTTTCCGCAACTAAATATTATCAAGCTGTTTTGTGAATCTATTATGGACTTTATGGCACTTGACTTTTATAAATATGAAAGACTTCTGTTTTGAGTAGTTGTTGTGCATTCAACAGGAATGTTTCCGATTATCACTTTTGAGGAGTTCATTTCGATTGCACTAGATGAACCGAGAGTTGTTGGAATTTATCCCGAGATTAAAAATCCAGTGTTAATCAACCAGCATGTAAGTACCTTTTTCGCCTATTCCTCAGAGTCTGCCTCCAGACTGTAATTGATCATTTGAAACAGAATGGCCTGGTTTTTCGTATTTTCCAATTTTTAAACCATGTGAAACTAGGGTCTGTTTTAAAATCCGATGAACTGTCAATCGAATGATATTTTCTTTTTACTTTGATTCCCTTGATTTCGAAACAATGTCTTAACAGGTAAAATGGCCAAATGGAAAGAGATTTGAGGACAAGTTTGTGGAGACACTTAAGAAATATGGATATAAAGGTTCACACATGTCAAAAGATTGGTTGGAAAAACCTTTATTTATACAGTCCTTCGCTCCAACTTCACTGTGTACGTATCTAATCTTACGGACTCGCCAAAGATCTTCTTGATAGACGATGTTACGATCCAGACTCAGGATACTAATCAGGTTTGTCCCAAATGCACCTTTGTTCTTTTCCCTTTTACTTTCCTGTAGGACAGTCCTTCAAAGATGTTTCCCAGCATGCATTATAGGACAGTCAAGATACTAAACTTGTTTCTTTATAACTCGCTCTCCCGATTTGAACTCTTTCCGAATTTCGGAATTCTAATGAAAGAAAATACTATCGACATTTCAGTCATATTGTGAATTACATCGGATGAGTATCTCGACTCATCAAGGAATATGTGATCGGCATTGGACCTTGGAAAGATACAGTGGTTCCTGTAAAAGACAACTACTTACAAGCACCAACGGATCTCGTGGCCCGAGCACACGCCCGAGATCTACAGGTACTTCATATTTTAACTTTTGGTTGTCAGCATTGCTGGTGATGTCTAACAACATGCATCGATGTGTGATTGGTTTCTTATACAGGTTCATACATACACTTACCGCGATGAAAATTCGTTTTTACATTTCGATTTCCATCAAGATCCATACCAGGAATATGATTATTGGTTGAACAATATCGGAGTCGATGGTTTGTTTACGGACTTCACGGGGAGCTTCCATAATTTCCAGGAATGGACGTCGCCTCTATCGCGAAATGATAGCGAGAATAACGGTAATGCATCTAAATTGCTGGATAAAATTGCGTTGTTGATCTCTTCGTATAAAAATGGATGAGATGATAGATTACATTCATATCTTTTATCGATGATGGATTGTATCTTCTTATCATTTTTATCATCCCAAGAACTTATTGTATCGTTTTCTACTGGAACTCATACGTATCAATATTTGTTTCATTTGTCCCATCGACATCGGTCATTTCTCTTCGAGTCTTCATATTGTTTTCAATTAAGTATACATGTTCAACCTATTTGATTATAGATGTGACATTAA